CCCCCCCCCCCCCCCCCCCCCCCCCCCCCCCCCCCCCCCCCCCCCCCGCACCTTCTCCTACCACTTATATGCGGCAGCTGTAACAGTGAGGGGGCGTCCTGCCGCGGCAAGAGAGCATTAATATGGATCAGCCTCCGAACCGCATCATCAAGCCTCTCACACTGAGTTAAGTGTTAAATTCATCACACATCGTTTCATCTCTCTTGACGATCAAACACCCCGTTTGTGGCTCTGGATGGAACTCTGAGCTTCATAACACACACACACACACCAGCACAAACACACCGCCCCCATCCTTACCCCCTACCCCCGCCCGAGGCGGCTCTGTGACATCAAAAGGAGCTAAGCGCTTTGCATCGTGGGTAAGATCTGGGAGCGTGACGGCTACAGAGTCTTTAGTCTCATTAAAGAGTTCTAGAGCTGCAACTCTCACATTAAAGGACTCTGGAAACTTCCCTCCGCTCATCCCTTTGGAGCAGCGATACCAGATGTGACACATCTCTACAAACTGAGAAGTGTATTTGAGGGGGAGGGGCAGTTCCCAAATAAACCCAATGATAAATAATAAGCAATATGTATTTACAAACAGGATATGAAGTCATCAGGTCAATCACACACAGGAAAAAAAAGTGACACTATAAGATTTACTTAAAAAATAAGTTTATTCACTGATATTGCACTTTGAGATGAGCTTCTTCAAGGCAGATGTGAGTTTGCGGGAGCGCGTACAGTACGTTGTTTGAATGAGAGTCCAGAATATTCCTCGTGACACAAACAATGGGTTCTACTTAAGCCAGCCGACTGCTATTGAAATACACTGCGCCCTATACATTTATTTACATCAGAGAGTGAAAGGAACAATTACAAGCTCTACAAATTACATACGCTTTTCCTACGGGTAAATGGTTGGCGTTATACATAATGTGAAATCCATGCAGGTGTCAATAGATCAATGCATTTAAGTGAAAACGGGTCAGTTGGGTGTTTTATACCAGAACCTCTGTTCTCTTGACAGCATGTTGTGCGGCTCTGAATCCTCTTGTAATAAGACGAGCTGTGCAGTGTGCTTCTACATGTCTGTCCTAGATTCTGCACCGTGCATTTCTAATGTGTGGGCACAGTTACTGACGCTGTTCATTTCATTTGCTCAGACCGACATGTAACTACAACGTAGGTGACAATAAGAAGCCCCCCCCCCCCCTCCCCCTCCCTTGGAACCCAATCCCTCCCAAGTTTCTTCCCCAGCTTTGGACTCCCACCATGTCCCAGGTGGGGGGGGTTGTTTACACCAGACCCAAAATGCGCGCCACCCACCAGTTGCAGGGCATGATGACCCGACAGACCACCCTGCAGCCCCGGTAGTGGTACGGCCACGGGCTGTACCCTCCCAGCGGCTCGCAGATCCTCTGGCAGTGGGTGTAGCCGCGACGGCACTCGTTGCAGCACACGCCCTGGTGGTCCAGCATGGGGTCGATGTTCATGGCGCCCTGCTCGCCCTCAAGACCTCTCTGGGGTGGAGACAGACAGACAGACAGACAGACACGTGATGCTGAACGTCTTTAGGGGCGGAGAAGGCTGGTTTCAAACCAATTAAAAAATGGATTTCCGACATGCGGGATGGGGAGGAGGGGATGTTGTCAGATGTGGGTTTTTTGTTGTCAAATATTTTCTTTTTCAAACATAGCGCTTCCTGTTCCACCCCCCTCTGTGGTTGTCAGGAGTGTGTAGCGGGGGGGGGATTAGGAAAAAGGGGGCCCAACATAAGAGGTGAGGATGGAGGGCACGGGGGTGTTTATATATGGGAGTCTGTGTGTGCTCAGCAGGGCAAAGGGGGCTGTAGCAGGGGAGCGGGGGGGAGATGTGGAATTATTTATACACTGTTGAAAGAAAAGCTTTGGACAGGCAGCCTCACATAGAGAACACACCCACGCATACACTCAGATTTGCAGTGACAATCCGGGCCCCTCCGCCGTGACCCCGGCATCTGCTGCTGCTCGCACAGCTGTGAGGATCTCTTTTTTTTTTTTTTTTTCTTCTCAGGTGGCCCTCAGATCCGAGCGGACAGTCGCGAGCATTGCAGCGGGACCTAAACACAACAGAAGAAGAAGAAGAAGAAGAGTGTGTCTGTGTGACTCACCTGATAAGGGTTCTCCGGGTTGAAATCTGCCTCCACGTCCTCTTCTTCCTCCTCCCCGGCTGCCTGGCGCCGCTGGCGGGGGGCGGCCCTCCTCTCCCTCTGTCCGCCTGCACACATCACAGTCTCATTATCTGACAGCAGCCCAAATTTCGGAGCGGAGTGGCACTAATGTGGCTTCTGATTGCACAGCCGTTTCTCTGGCAGCATTTTGAAGTCCTCAGATGAAGGAGAATAAAATTGTGTTTTGAGAACTTTTGACCCCCCCAGCGCGCTAAAAATTGTACACTCGGTAGCTCTGAAACTTCAAAAGGACTTCTGCTTTTCTTTTAAGCTTGTTTTCCTTTCTGTGGCTTCAACAACTGCGATGTTAAATGAAAATTCTAGAGACCGTTTGACCTATATCCTCTTTTGTTTTGTGAAAAGAAGGCCTTGGAAATAGAGCATTTCACTCTGTCTTCGCTGGATTTGCATTTCCATATCTTTACTGCGAGCTGTGTGATTGCTTACTGGTTGAGTAGGTGGGACGGAGCCAGAAGATTGGCAGGTCTCCGCACAAGTCCTTTATCTTGTTGCTGAGGAAGCCGGAGTCCGAGAGGGGAGCGTCAGCCGCCACCCAGATCAGATCGTCCTCAAACTTGGCCGGCATCACCTCGTCCTCCTTCAGGGGTTTGAAGAAGATGAGGAGAAAGTGAGCAGACTCCCCGGGGCAAACGCAAACAAGCATCACAACAAAGCATCTGGTGTAATGTCACACTTGTTTTATGGATCTTGTTACTCGACTTCCCCTTTAAATAGACCGCCGTCTCTGCATCCTGTCCGAGTCTGATCTGCATTAATGGCCTGCTGTTAAAGCCCCTCATAACAACATAAAATCATGTAGTAAATAGGAAGCCCTTCAGGCTTCAGCATACAGTTTCCCTTTGCACTAACATTTAGCTGTAAACGCAATGTCAGGACTCATCAAGATCTGAAGGGAAGGAGAGGTAGGATGGCCTACATTTTCAGGTTTCTGCCGATAAACTAATGAGGTTTCTAGAGGAGAGACTGTAAAGTA